GGTTTTCGTTGGTGCGGCTCGTGCCCTTCCCACTTGGCCAGGGCTCCCCGGGCCTGGGTGCCTTGAGCCGCTGCTGCATAGCCCTCTCAGTGGAGTCTAGTCCCTCGTGCTGAGATGTGAGCAGGCATAACAGTCGTAGCACACATCTAGATATGTATTTTGTGTATCTTAAAATATCTAATCAACTTAATGTTAATTAAGTAGTCTTGTAGAATTTAAAATCAGTATACACTTGGTAACATTTTAAGTAACCTAACAGATCTGCAGTGTGGATGTCTTTGTTCTGATTTCCACGGCGTCGCCGGCCCTGAGCAGATCTCACACTTCCTGCGCTGCTCACACCATGTGCACACGTGTCTCAGACGTGGGCTGAGCGTTTCCTGTGTGCACCACGTGTGCGGAGCCTCCTAGCATCCACACGCTCCTGGCCGTGGAGTCTGTGCGCTGGGCTTCCTCCCAGTGGTGCGGGCATGGACGAGTGTTGACCTCTCTTTCTCAGGTGGAGTTTGAGGGCCTCAAGCATGAGATCAAGCGTCTGGAGGAGGAGACCGAGTACCTTAACAGCCAGCTGGAGGACGCCATCCGGCTCAAGGAGATCTCGGAGCGGCAGCTGGAGGAGGCGCTGGAGACGCTGAAGACGGAGCGCGAGCAGAAGAACAGCCTGCGCAAGGAGCTGTCGCACTACATGAGCATCAACGACTCGCTGTACACCAGCCACCTGCACGTCTCCCTGGATGGCCTCAAGCTCAGCGACGACGCCGAGGCCCTTGCCAACGGTTTCGAGCACGGTGCGCTGGCAAAGCTGCCGCTGGACAACAAGACCTCCACGCCCGCCAAAGACGGCCTCACCCCGCCGTCCTCCAGCCTCGTGTCTGACCTCCTCAGCGAGCTCAACATCTCCGAGATCCAGAAGCTAACGCAGCAGCTGTTGCAGGTGAGCGGGTGGGTGGCACAGGGATTCCCCCCCCCAGCCAGGTCTCCTCACAGCTCCGGGCCTCCACTCCCGTCCCCTCATGGTTTTGGCCAGACCTGCTGGCCACAGGACGGTGCTTGTCTGACACTTTGTTGATGTTACACACCTCTTTGTACCTACGTTTATTTTAAATTCCACGTTGTTACCGTAAGTGGACCTGCAGTGTTGCAGGTGGAAGGTGCCCAGAGAAGTAGATTCCTGGTTACGAGATTGAAGTTCTGGCATCACCGGAGGTTCTCATGTCCCTCTGCGGTGCCCACGTGCAGTCTCCTATGCCGTGTCCTATGGATGCGGCACGTCAGGGTTTCCTGCCCCCGGTTGAATGGAATCCCAGGGTCTGCACTGCGGCCCCTCAGTTCGCTGTGCATCCTAAAGAGGGCCCGCCGAGCCCCCCAAGCCTCTGGGCAGGGGAAGGACTCATCATGGCCCCACACGTGACACCCCCGCCTGGACGTGTCACAGGCCAGCAGGGTAACAGCCATGGCACGGGCAGGGTCACTGCTGGGTCTGTCCGGGCGTGGGCCCCTGCACGCTGTTGACGGGCCCTTCCTGTGCCTTTGCAGATGGAGCGGGAGAAGGTGGGCCTGCTGGCGACACTGCAGGACACGCAGAAGCAGCTGGAGCAGGCGCGGGGGGCCCTGTCGGAGCAGCACGAGGAGGTGAGCCGCCTCACGGAGAACCTGAGCGCTCTGCGGCGCCTGCAGGCCGGCAAGGAGCGGCGGGCGGCCCTGGACAGTGAGAAGGAGCACGACAGCCGTGAGGACGGCGACTACTATGAGGTGGACATCAACGGGCCCGAGATCTTGGCCTGCAAGTACCGCGGGGCCTTGGCGGAGGCCAGCGAGCTCCGGGAGCAGCTGAAGGCCCTGCGCAGCGCGCAAGAGGCCAGCGAGGCCCAGCGTGCCGAGGAGAAGGGCCGGCACGAGGCTGAGAGCCAGGCGCTCAGTGAGAAAGTCTCCCTGCTGGAGAAGGCCAGCCGCCAGGACCGCGAGCTGCTGGCCCGGCTGCAGACAGAGCTGAAGAAGGTGAGCGACGTTGCAGGCGAGACACAGGGCAGCCTGAGCGCGGCCCAGGACGAGCTGGTGGCCTTCAGCGAGGAGCTGGCCAGCCTCTACCACCACGTCTGCATGTGCAACAACGAGACGCCCACCCGCGTCGTGCTGGACTACTACCGCGAGGGCCCAGCCGGCCCTGGCCGCTGTAGCCCTGAGGCCCGCGGGCGCCGCTCACCCGTCCTACCCAAGGGGCCGCCAACCACAGAGAGCGGGGCTGGGGACAGCAGCCCCTCACCCGGGTCCTCACTGCCCTCGCCCCTGAGCGACCCGCGCAGGGAGCCCATGAACATCTACAACCTGATCGCCATCATCCGCGACCAGATCCGGCACCTGCAGGCGGCCGTGGACCGCACCACGGAGCTGTCGCGGCAGCGCCTGGCCTCGCAGGAGCTGGGCCCCGCCGCGGACAAGGACCGGGAGGCGCTGATGGGGGAGATCCTCAAGCTCAAGTCGCTGCTCAGCACCAAGCGGGAGCAGATCACCACGCTGCGCACCGTGCTCAAGGCCAACAAGCAGGTGCGCGCGGCGCGTGGGCCGGCAGGGCGGTCGGGCGGCGGGGCTCCTCACGCTCCCCAGCCCCCCGGCCCTGCTGCGCTTCCTGCTGAAGGAAAGACGCGGGAGCCCCCTCGCCTCAGGGCTGCGGGGGGGCAGGGGCGTCGAGGGCCGGGCCCTCGCTGAGGCAGGCGCACGCTCTCCGCGCCCCTCACCGCCCCCTGCACGTCTCTGACCCCCAGACGGCCGAGGTGGCCCTGGCCAACCTGAAGAGCAAGTACGAGAACGAGAAGGCCATGGTGACCGAGACCATGATGAAGCTGCGCAACGAGCTCAAGGCCCTCAAGGAGGACGCGGCCACCTTCTCCTCGCTGCGCGCCATGTTCGCCACCAGGTACCGCTGTGCTCCTGTCGCGGCTGGTGGCCCCGGAGCCTCCCCTGCTGTGGGTGACACCCCAGATGGCCCGGCTCTGAGTTTACACGTGGGGTGGAGGGGCTGGAGGCAGAGCTGAGGGTGGGTCCCTGGTGGCCGGGCTGCAGGCGTGAGCCTCGAGGAGGGAGCGCGCGGGTCGGCAAGTCACATGACCTGTGTCTGGGGCCAGTAACCCACAGACCAGGAGTTTGCCCGCAGAACTTGGCGGGAAGTTTGCAGATTCAGAAGGAAGGTTCCTCTCCCGGCGGTGGTGGGGTCACAGTGCACACCATCTGACCCTGCAAGTTGGGGATAGGGAGGCAGCGGCCTTCTTTCCAGTCCTGAAGGTCAGTCGGATGCAGGCGTATGGCCGGGAAGCCTCCCTGGAAAGTGCATAGCTGGAGGCTGCGTTGGGGCCTGGGTCTGGGTCTTTCCGCCATCCAGAGGGTCATGGCGCCCTCTGCTGGCTGGGTCGGACAGGCGTGGGGGAGCGGGCCCTGGATGGTCCAGGCCTGTGCTCCTGGAGGGTGGGAGGCTGAGGCTCTGGGTTAAATGGGGTTGGAACCGAGCTCAGGGCCTGCTCCTTGCGCTGGGGTGCTGGGCGCTCCGCTCTTCTCAGCGACATTGGAGGAGAGGGGCAAGGAAAGAAAGTTCCAGGCTTCTCCGGAAGCTTCCTTTCCTCCAGGGCAAAGTGCTGGGGAAAGGTCTCAGTCAGTCTCTCAGCACGTGGTATGTTGATCCTTGCTTTCTCAGCTTGTTTCATAAAAGACCTGACTTCTCAAACGGAGCTGAGATCGCAGACCTGCTTGTCTCTGGGCAAGGGTTAAAACTTGCTGTCGGCCCTCAGCCCCTGGAGACAGAGGGCTGCGGCGGGTGGGGGTGCGGATGGGCATTTCTCTCTCCCAGCCCCAGACGTGGGTGGGGGGCACGTGTCACGGTGAAGTAGATGCCGAAATGGGGCTGTTTACAGCGTCCACAAGCGCTGTTCCCAGGGTCTGGCTGCCACCATCACAGACTTACTAAGCACCTACCTGGCGCACCCAGTGATCTGGGAACAACCGAGTCCTGCCCTCGGGTTGACCCTATACCCTGGGAGCCAGGATGTCACACCTCCAGGCGGCTGTCCTGGGCCACCGGGAGGCCTTGAGGGGTAGCCATCCACTCTTTCAGTGAAAACTGGCTTTGGAGAGCCCCTCTCAGAGAAGGCTGAACCACCGAGGGACACGGCTGCTTTGCTTCCAGCCCAGTGAGCAGGGTGACCTGATTGGGGTCCCCTCACCTTCTGCCCAGGTGTCCCCTGCCTGGGCCCTTGGTGTGGGGCCTTGATCACACACACTGCCCGCTCTCCCGGGTCCTTCAGCTGTGCTCTCGTCTCCCGTCCCCACAGGTGTGACGAGTACATCACGCAGCTGGATGAGATGCAGCGGCAGCTGGCAGCCGCCGAGGACGAGAAGAAGACGCTCAACTCACTGCTGCGCATGGCGATCCAGCAGAAGCTGGCGCTGACCCAGCGGCTGGAGTTGCTCGAGCTGGACCACGAGCAGACCCGGCGGGGCCGCACCAAGGCCACCCCCAAGGCCAAGCCCAGCACCCCGAGCGTAAGTCATACCTGTGCCTGTGCCAGCGACAGGGCCGAGGGCGCAGGGCTGGCTGCCCAGGTGCTCTGCAGCGAGAAGTATAACATTTACTGCGATTAGGGCCGCAGGGCCGCACACTGCAGCTAACCCGCAGCACGTCACCCGCCCGCTTCACCTCGACTAACCAGCCGCAGCAGGGCCGCGGTGCTAGGCTGCTCTTAACGTGACTAATGCACGGAGGGCAGGATCTGGCCGAGGCGGCGTGCGCTCCACCTGGACACTGCGAGCTTTGTGTCTGCTTCCCACCCCTCGGGACCACCCTTCACAGCAGCTCTTCTCTTGGCGGGGGTCAGGGTGGGGTCTGAACTGCTGTTCTTGCGAAAACATGGCTCCCTGGGGTCTGGGTGTCGTCAGCTCCCACAGGGAGGGGCAGAACCTGATTTGAAACTTGCATGTTCCCTGCACGTGTCTGATGTAGTCGGGCTGCCCCAGCACCAGAGAGAGCGTTCGAGGTTCTGGCCTGAGTCCCAGGCGCAGCCTCAGAGGACGCTCTGCGCCTGGCACCGTTTACGGAGAGAATTACTTTGTGGTTTGTGCAGCATCTCACTGCAAATCGTATTCGGGACACAAATACAGAATTGCTTGCCCCAAACCCAGAGAAAGAGCAGCCCTGAGCCCTGCGGCCTGCAGCCAGGCGCACCCTGAGACCAGAGCCCTGCGGCCTCAGCTTTGTTTTCTGAGACCTGCACGCTGCTCTGGTGGCCTGCACAATGACAGATCGGCAGGCCTGAGGCCTGGGGTGTTTCCAGTGAGGAAGACAAGTGCCTGGCCGGACCCCTGTCCTCGCAGGAAGCCTGTCCTTTTGTGCTTAGGGTGTCCCCAGCTTGTGGGGTGGGTTTCTCCACCCTCTGCTCATTATCAGGCCCTCCTCTAGGGGGCTTCAGACCCCAAGAAATGGGGCTCTAGAAATCCCCAGCCTGAGCCTCCATCGCTCCAGACTCCCACAGCTGTAGCTGAGCCCAGCGCGGTGTGGGAAAGGAGCCTTGCGTGGGCCCAGGGCTGTTTCCAGGAGTCACCGTAGGAGGAATGTGGTTCTCCTCGGTGTGGTGCCAGGGGTGGTGCAGGTGGAAAGGCAGCCTGGGCCTCTCCTGTCCCCAGAGGCTGCACCCCACCCTGTGCTTGGCCTCAGGCCATCCGAGGTCACGCGTTTGGAAGCAGGACTTCTCTTGGTATTTCCCTCCCTGTCACCCCTTGGGTGCCGCCAGGCGTGAGGCTGCGGTCCTCTCCCTGAAGGGCTTCTTGCCTCGTCTCTCCGTGGCCCGGAGGGGGGTCTGCGTTGCTCCCTCACACAGCTGTCTGTCCCTGCTCCACTCTTCCTCTTGGTTCCTGAGTGTGTCTCAGTCCCACGAGACTCCAGGCGCCATACAGACGGCCTTGGGTTTGGCACACCGCTGGCATGGAGAGATGTGGGACGGGCTGCGCCTGTCCCTGGCTCCGGGCGGCTTTGCTGATGGGACGTCGGGTCTTGGATGGACTCCCCTCCCACTGGAGAAGGGGTCAGGCCATGCCTCTCTGCAGGCAAGACTTCTGGGGGCATGGCCGCCTGCTGGCACCGCGCGCTGCTTCTGCCCTCCTCACCAAGCCCAGCACGCAGCTTCTCCCTGAACTCGTAAGGGGTCTTCACGAGGCATTCAGGGCTGGTGGCCCCTAACACACGCAGGTCTTCTCTGCTGCCGACTAACGCGCCCCCGCCCTCACAGCTCAGCGAGAGCTTTAGTGTCTGACGGGGGACCCTGCTAACTGTCTTTTCTTCTCCCGTTTTCAGCTGTAGAGTAGCTGCCGGGAGGACTCAGCTGCCGGCCTGGTCACAGTGCAGCCCCCCTCCCCTCCCATGGGCCCACGCAGAGGAAGGAAGGGCGGCCTAAAAGTCCACTTAGAAACATTTTTGGATGTGCCACTGCAATTCTTTTCAAAATAGCATTCCCCGAGTTTATAATGGCAGAGGAAAAAAGCTTTAATGTTGAGAAAGCCGCCAGCTGCTGCTTGGAAAGGCGTTTGTACAAGCGCCGAAGAAGTTACTTGGACAGCGACCGCCAGGCTCGCTTAGGAACCCGCTAGAAACACTCACCACTGGGGTCTCCCTATTACAGATACTCGTTTTTTATCTGATCAACCTGTGCACTTTTGATATTTTGATATTATATTTGCTTCCTTAATCCCTCGCAGAGAGATGGTCTCAGATGCCGTGGTCTGTCTCGTGGTTCTGTAGCCCTCCGTCTTAGCTCCCAGCGTGTTGATTCACATCAGCACCTGGCACAGATGTGTCACTCTAGGCTGTTTAGATGAAGTCGTCGACCTGGCAAGGAGCTCGGCTAAACTGTGGTTCTGCAGCCTTTTAGATAATACGGCATTGTGGTTCATGTTTGAAATTACAGATTTTAAATGCCATGTTCATTAAGAAATCCAGGGTATTCCAATTCTGGGGCTTTTCATATTGTATTATTATTATTCTTAGGAATAGTTCAATGTAACAAGAAGAAAACTTGACCTTTGCTCTGGTTAAACAGTAACGGGCACTTGAAAACAAAGATAAATTATTGAAATGAGTAGTATTACCTACAGATGCCAGAGTTTTCTGGGTTTTAGGACATTGTGAAGCATGACCGATTAACAGAATTTTATACAACTGTACCAGTGAAATTCCAAATTGGAATTGTTTTGTTACTCTGGTTGTTGTGCCAAATTGTGGTACACTTAGAAAATTCTACAGTCATTGATTTTTAGGGTGTTCTATTTCAACGCCTTTTTGTTAGTAATCATTGCCAGTAGTGCCTTCATCAGGGAAGTGTCCCAGTGTAGTTCGTTCTCGAAGACAGAGAGTGAAGAGCTAGTTGGGAATGTTGAAGGCTGGTGTGGATCAGTTGGTGTGAATGAGCACACACCTTCACACCTGTACCTGGGCATCTTCACGGGGGAAGAAAAGAGCAATTGTGCAAAATTCTGTTAGTCAGTGATTCTTCACCGTGCAGCTTCAGGGGCTGAGACGATGAGCGTGAACACAACCCTTGAATGTGCTCTGGGAACCAGACGGACTGGATGGACGAGCTAAGCAAGCTGTGTGAACAGCACTCCACGTTTGTGAAGAGCAGGGCGGCAGGGGGCCGCTGTCTGCCTCATGCGGTGGGGTGAGGGCTAGCCATGGTATTCTTTGCAAATGTGAGAAAGAGACGTTATGTATTCTCTTGCTTGGTGTAACTAATCACTGCTCATTCCAGGAAACGGGATTCGCTAAAGCTCCTTAGCAAACCAGGTGTGCATCCTGTCCGATTTGCTGAGTGAGGTTGTGCGAATGGTCAAATTGGTACTCGCAGAGGAAGAAGAAAAAGTGTGTTCCCTCCTCCAAAATAAAGGCCAAATTATAATAATATAAGTAGCAAGAACAAAAGAATTCTGTTTCCTGGAATAAGCGTTTCTTATTCCTAGTTGTAGGGACCCCTATTTTTATCTTCTGTTACAGTGTTGATTTATAAGAAATAATGTTACAGTTACAATAACTTCATCTGTATGGGGTATTTATTTGCAATGATGTCTGAGTACTGTATTTTTTTCTGTGCATCACCTTAGTGTCAGAATGTTGTCTTTATTTTAAGATCATATGCATGTTCTCCTGCCAAGGAACCTCTACACAGACCCAAACAAACAAACAAAAATGCCTTCAGATTTTGAGAAAATGAGGCAGAGAATGGAAAAGAATAGGAAGGAGAAATCAGTTGTCATTTGGAACACAGACATGGCGCCAATGGCTTCAAAGCCAGTGCACGTAGGAACGGTGGGCCTGGGTCCAGGGTCATGTTGGTAGGACCAATAAATAAAAAGTAATAAAGAGAAAGCACATGGCTTGTTCTCTGTGGCTGCTCTGGACTCCCAGCTACAAACGACTGCGGGTCCAGCAGTGCACCATCATTCCACCGCCTAAAACAACAACAAAAGCAGCCTGTCAGTGACCTGGGTGGTGGGAGCTGGAAGCAGCCTGGGGCCCATCTTGGGGGGGGGCAGGAGGGGGGGGCGTGAGGTGCCTCCCTCGATGGGCGTCAGGTGTTGTGAGCGTGGCGGTGAGAGCGTGTTGCCTCGCACTGTCCTGCCCAGGAAGCAGAGACTTGGGTCACATGGGGTCACTTCCTGTCCAGACTCCTGCTCTCTGAACTCAGGAGTGAAGGTGCAGCAACAGGCGTTACCTGTTTGCCAACACAAAACCACGTTCATCTGCAGGAATGTGTGCAGGGCACGCCACACTCGTCCAGTGAGTGCCTGGGGTGTGAGCATAGGGGACGCGTACTTGCTGAGGGGACAGAGGTCCCGGGGACAGTCTGCCACCTCCCCTTCAGCCTCAGTCAGGCCTGAGTGAGTTTGCCCAGACCTCAGGGCTTCCTTCGGGGAGGCTTTCTTTGGCCAGGGTCTCGCTGCCCTGGCATCTCCCCAGGACCTCTCCCTTCGCCCAGGGTCTCCCCCAGCCTCGTGGTCACTGCGGGGCCCCTCCCCGTGACGGTCTCCGTCCCTGCGGTTGTGGACCCGTGTTCAGTGTGAAACTTTGTTTCAAAAGACATGTGTTTTTCTACCTCAGTAGAAGAAGGAATCTTTCTTCCCTGCTGGCCCATGTTGCCCCAACAGGCCCTTGGAAGAGGTTGAGAGGAGAGCCCATGCAGATCTGGAGGAGACCACCAGGAGGACGGGGTGTTGGCATTGTGGCCCCACCTCAGTCCCTACTATTGAGGTGTTTGATTTGCGCAAGCACAGATGTGAGGCCTCCCCTCCTCCCCTGTGAGCTCAGGGTTCTTCACCTCAGGGTAGAGAGGCAGCCTCCCAAGTGGTGGATCCCAGGAGCCTGTGGGGGGGAAGTCGGCTGGAAGGCCTCCCACTCAGCTTTCCCTTCCAAGAGGGAAGTCCCCATTCCCAGCGCCACCTCCGTCCCCTGCAGCAGTTTCCACCAGCACCCAGCAGGACCCAGAGCTGGGAACCACAGCGTCAGCCTGGAGACAGACCTTCAGCTGAATCGCCCCCTTCCGGTCGCCGACTTATCCTGTCAGAGCCTGTTCCCCTCTGTAGTTTGAGGGCAGTAGTTCTTTGCTCAGAGGTTGTTGTGAAGCTCCAAGCCCTAGGTATGTGTCATGTAGCAGGTTCTCAACAGATGACCGTTGCTAATACGGTCCTTGCTGCCATTGTCATCATCAGCAAGGTCTGGGATGCCAGGCCATGGAGCTGAGCCTTTGTCCTGTGGGGAGTGAGATTTTAAGTCAACTTACTACCAAAGCATAATTTGTATTCCGGAAAGTGCACACATCCTGATATACTGTCCAGATTTGCACACAGTGAACACAGCTGTGTAACCAGCAGCCACAAAGTTTTCTGGGCCCCCCAAGAGTGCTTTTTGGGGCACACATTAATGGGATGCCTTTGCCAGCCCTGGCTAGGCACCGGGCTGCCTTCTGCCCCTGGGAGCCTCTTGGAAGATCAGACGTGTCTATATTCTGACATTACCTGGTGTGGGATTTCAGCAGGGATGGGCTACAATCAGCTTTGCCTCTGTGTGTGCTCACCTTTCAGCTGTGTCCAGACAGTGGAGTGGGAAGGGCTTTGTGTTCCCACTTTGTCACATTTCTTGTGGGCAAGCACACTGGCTTTTGTGAGTTCACCTCTTTCATCCATGAACCTGCCTGTGTAAGCCCGGATCCCTGGGTTGAAGCCCCCCCCCCCCCCCCCCCCCCCCCCCCCCCCACACACACAGAGCACCTCCTCCTAAGCAGGAAATGGCAGTACCTCACCCACAGAAAAGCCCTCTCTGCATGGGCCTCCTAGGAGGAGAGAACAGTAAGAATCGATGATCACACACACACACACACACCAGGATCCCTTTGTTCATCTCACTCAAGGAATTAAGATTTTCATTTATCCTAAAGTGTGGGGGAAGTATAGTGCACATGTGTAAGAGTGCAAACAAGTGTCCACTGGCTGCATTGTTCCCAACTGAGCACACTGTGCAGCCACCATCCAGAGAAGAAGTAAACGAGCAGCCCCCCAAAGTGGGGCTGCACACCCCCTGATCTGCACAGCCACTCCTCCCCGCAGGGGTACCTCCTCAGTCAGTGCAGGTTACTTGTGCCTGTCTCTGTACTTTATATATGTGGAAGCATACTATAGCGACTCAGAGCTTTGACAGATTTACTTACCAAACTGCACTGATTTCTCATGCCTGGATTGAACTGTGCGTTTACAGGTGACTCGTTTTAGATTCAAAGATACAAATCAGTTGAATGTAAGAGAATGGAAAAAGATACTCCGTACAAACAGTAGCCAAAAGAGAACAGCAGTGGCTATATTAACATCAGACAAAATAGACTTTAAGACAAAAATTGTTACAAGAGACAAAGAAGGACATTATATAATGATTGAAAGTCAATTTACCAAGAAGATATAACAATTATAAACATATGCATCAAACAACAGAGCTCAAAAATACACTTTGCAAAAACTGCCAGAATGGAAGGGAGAAATAGTTCGACAATAGAGACTTCAGTTCTCCACTTTGGATAATAGAACGAGACAGAATATCAAAAGAGAAGTAGAATATTTGAACAGGACTATGAGCCAGCTAGACCTAGTACATCTATGAAACACTCCAGCCAACAACAGCAGAAGACATATTCTTACTAAGTGCATATGGAACATTGTCCAGGATAGACCATGTGTTAAACCACAAAACAAGTCTCAATAAATTAAAGCAGATTGACATACAAACTATATTGCCCAATGACAATGGAATAAAATTAGAAATAATAAGGAAATGTGGGAAATTCACAAATATGTGTAAATGAAACAACACACTTAATAATCAATGGGTCAAGGAAGATATCAAGAGGAAAAACCTCAAATCAATAACCTAACTTCCCACCTTAAGAAACTAGAAAAAGAAGAACAAGCTAAGTTCAAAGCAAGCAAAGGAAAAGAAATAGTAAAGATTAATTAAATAAAGATTAATGAAATAGGGAATAGGGATAAAATAGAAAAATTTTTTAAAAAGTTGTTCCTGTGAAAAGATCAGCAAAAATGACAGACCTTTAGACCAAGAAAGAGAAGACCACTAAAATCAGAAATGAAAATGGGGAAATTACTTCTGATTTTACAGAAATATGAAGGATTACAAGAGAGTACTAGAAACAGTTATACACCAAAAAAATAGATAACAAAAACCCAAACCAAGCAGAGAGAAAGAAATAGTAAAGATTAGAGCAGAGATGAATGAAATAGAAAATCAATAAAATCTACAAAACTGAAAGTTGTTTCCTAGAAAAGATAAACAAATTGACAAACCTTTAGCTAGACTGACAAAAACAGAGATGACTCAAATTACTGAAATCAATAATGAGAGTAGGGACATTTTACTAATGACGTTACATAAATAAAAAGGATTATAGGACAATGTTATAACAATGCCAACAAATTAGATAAACTTGGTGAAATGGCAAATCACTAGAATCACACAAACTACGAAAACTGACTCCAAAGGAAATAATCTTGATAGAACTATAACAAGAAATTGAATCAGTAATCAAAAATCTTCTAACAGGACTTCTAGTTTCTGGTCCAACATGTAAGGAGCTTTGAAGCCATTATTTTATCCTAACAACAAGTAAAAAGCTGAACAAACTGAAAAGCCAACAACTCTTCTTAGATCCATCAGAGAAGTGAGGTCACAGGGCAAACCACTGCCCCCCAAATTGTAGAGACAGACACAGATACAGAGAAGCACAGCTTACCAGAGAGTTGTACCAGTGCTGGTAGGAAACCTGAACTGTAATTTACCAACTGTTGGAGGCTCAGTGGACAAGTCTGAGAGAGAAAAACTCCAGGGCACCCATTGTAGGGGGACCCTCACACTTATGTGAGCTTTGCCTCCAGGAACTCTACCAGGTTCTCACAGTGAAGATCAGAGAAAAATCCCCTCAGGCTTCCAGCAGCAGAGGGAAAAATATAGGCATTTGAAATACACTAGAAAATTCTATTCTTAACCAAGCCTGCTCTCAAGACAAACTATTTTACCACAGCCTAACCAACTGGGGGAAGGTCATTACCGAACTCCAGTTCCCTTTGGCCATACTTTACCTCCTAAGAGGGTGAAAAGAAGAAAGAACTGAGATGCACTTGTGAAGTTCATAGCCCAACGGCACAGGTTCACTAATAACAGACCTAATCATAGGCCTGTAGAACACCTCCCCTCCCCTACACCTTACTGTTATGTTACTAAATGCCTATTTACTGCAGTTCCCGTTCTCCAGTACATAATGTCTATGTTTCAACAAAAACTTAGGCATAATAAAATGGAAAAAAAAAATCAACAAACCAGAACACACTGAAGAGACAGAGCAAGCGTCAGAACCAGACTGAGATATGGCAAGAATGTTGGAAATATCAGGCCAGGAATTTAAAGTAACTTTGATCAGTATACTGAGGGCAGTAAAGGAAATGTAGACAACGTGTAAGAACAGATGGGCAATGTCAGCAGAGAGAAGGAGGGATCTCAGAAAGAACTTAAAGATGCTGGAAATAAAAACAGCTGGAACAAATAGTCTTTGACGGGCTCATTAGTAGACTGGACGTGGCTGAGGAAAGAAGCTCTGAGCTTGAGGATGTGTCAATAGAAACTTCCAAAGCTGAA